GGGGGGGAAGGGAGGGGAAAAAAAGACCCTAAACAAAATAGGGAAACAGAATAAAATGGAAGAACTCTCAGAATCTGCTTAATGTAGTAGCACCATTCTGCCCTCCGTGGGAACCCTTCCCCTTCACCCCCCAACTTATGTAGAGCTTTTATATAGCTGAATATAGTTATTCCATCTCCTCATAAATGTTAATTCAAAATGTGGAAGTACGCTGGTTTTTTTCAGATTAAATTCTGGCTGTTTCTCTGTATCAATGCTTCTGCTGATTATCTCTTAACCTAATGAATTTTTCACTACTTCATCTTATACTCCTTATTTATCTGTTAATCTTTAAACTTCAGTATTACTTATGCACATTACAATGCTAATGAGATTACACGGCCTTTTAATGGACACCATGAGAAATTCTGTACGTGATCCAGGTACATCTTATTACTCAAAATATGCTATTATTGCTTTCTAGTAGTTAAGGCTAATGCCAGCATATGAATTAATATGATGGAAATGTAACAGATGCTTTCTTTGAATTTAAGTGATAGAATCCTATGCTGTCTTTGTTGATGGTCTCTGGTTCAGCCACCCTTTGTAGTCCTTTCTGCCATAGATCTGCAACAGATCTTTTTAAAAAGAAATATGAATAGTTTTAAATTAATATGTACTGTAAAAAGGATTCTTTGAAAACTCAGAGAACTGCAGAACAACAAAGGGGCACTGGAGGACAAGAATACAACGGTTAAAAAAACTACTAAAGAAATTCATTTGCCTTGCTCTTTACTAACCAGGGTCACCAACAGAAGTTATAATACAATAAAAGAGCATACACTGTTCATAGGAGACATTGCTTTATCCTCAAGGGAATTTCTTTTGCAGTTATCCTCAGAGTTCAATCTTACTGCCACGGCATGTCTTGCTCTTTTTACTAGCTCAGAACCAGGGTAGAGCTTAATAAGCCATCAATGGAAAGAATTAAAAGTAGACCGTAAACTGAAATTAGGCACTAAAGAAGGAACACTGAAATGCATAACTTTATTTTTTCACATTTTACAGTATTGTTAGATTTTAAGTCATACCATCTGTTTAGTGAAATAATGCTCAGTGAAATACCAGTTGTAAGCAGGAAGTCAGAAGCAATTTACAACTCTCATAAGGTTTCCTTCCAGGCAGAGAAGAAAGGAACAGCAGAAGAGCTTAAGTTTGTATTGAGAAGACTAAGATTTTTAAGCCTACACCCTTTCTAGTTCTATAAGGGCTATACAAGCTAAAAATTTCCTTTCTTACCCCTCTCCACCCTAGATTTCCTTTCTGCTACCAACTTATTTGCTTAGTTCTGATTCAGAAATTCAGACAGCTTTTTTTCTCAGGTATAATATCAGAAAATATTTACTAAAGGAGAAGATTTCAACTTACCTGATGAAGATCGTTGCCCAAAACATATTCCTGAAAGTAACCCGGTGCAGCAGATGATGCTCTAATGGCCTGCCACAGTTTATACTGACAGCCTCCAATATAATGAGACTTAACACCAGGAAAGTGATTGTAGTTTCTAAAAACAAATGCTTTCAGTGGTGTTCCTCTGTTTACAATGGTGCTTACTGCAGCTACCTAGTGAGTTAGGAGGAACAAAAATAGTTATTGATGATGATGATAATAGTGACAACCTCCCACAATATGAAATTCAATTTATACATTAAATGCATCTCTGGAATCCTACTTGGTTCATTATTTATTTACTTTTTTATAATGCCTATCTAAATTTCAAAAAGTGAAAGTAAAAAAAAACAAACAAAAACCCAACCAAACCAAAAAACCAAACTCCCTAAACAAAATGCTATTTTTAACACGAAATTCTTTCCACTGGCTCTTCTGTTTCTACCAAAATCTATCCATCAATATTTAAACAAAAAGCTGGTGTCATCTGTATGATTTTGAAGTGTTGTGCCTTTATGAATAGTAGTTCGTTCTCAAAAGTCTGTGACCAGCTATGTAACAATGCCATTAAATAAGAATGTTAGAAACATCAACCAAATTCTTTCTCCAAGAAAATGATTACTTAATATTGGAACCTGAGTTAAAGGATTGCAGGAAGAATCTCTCCCGAAGAAAAAAACAAAAGAATCACACATAAATCTTTCAAGGTTTTTTGTAAGGACACTGAAATGTCATTAACAAAAAGTCACATATGTAAATGTAAGTGAAAAGCCAAAATGGTATTTCCATAAAACAAAACATATGACTGCAAAAAAAAAAAAAAATCACATCTTACAGATCTAATCACAGGAGGCGAGAGCACCTATAGTTATGGGTGAGTGCTAGAATGTGCAAGACTTTTTAGTGATGATACACCCAGCCTGGCTGGCAATGTTCAGAACAATACTCTTTAGCAGACAAGTGGGTGTTCAACTCTATTTTGTTTACTATTTTACAGAGTACAGTGTTTTTGGGAAACGTTACTCAACAGCACTAGCAGCTGATGCTGTGATATCACTGTATTCATTTTGATTCTTCAGCTACATAAGCTACATCATTTAATTCACAGTAAGTCCATAAAAAAAGAGAAGAAGTGTAACTTCTATATGACAATGCAGAAGTAAAACACATGCATGATTCGTACTCCATCATTTGATGGAGGAAAAGTTTCCTCGTTTTGTCAAAAAGAAGGTTTGGTTCTAAGCACTACTAGAAGCAGTAAGAAAAAAAAACCTTTGAAATTTAATAGAAAACTTATCAAACTCATGTTTGAATTTATTTTTGGTAATACCCATATACACTTCCACTTCATGATGCAGTCTAAGTTGTAAAGTGCTGAGCACCTTCTGGAAAAATCCATCTTGCAATGAATTTAACAGCAGCAGAGCACACAACTGTGTGTTTTATTTTGATTTTGCTGTGCCTTGTAAAGAGTGCCACCACTGCCAGCACTACAAAGTGATTACTGGGAATAGCTAGTTTCAACTCTATTTATATTCACATTTTATTACTGAAGAACATGGAAGGAAGCCAAAGATCCTGGTTCAAAGATAACTTTCAAGTCAACATAGGATAGCTTCTCTCTCACAGAAAGCAACATACCACTCCAGCCTTTTCATGTCCTTGTTTTAGACATGGACTAGGAACGCAGTCAGTCAAGCACATTTCTACATTTAGAAAAATGTGAATATCTTCCATTTAACAGTAAAGCATTGAATATAGTGCTATGACACCAAAATACCTGTTAATTACAGACTGTTCTGAAATATGTGCTATTATATTTCTCTTTTCTTCACTCCCTATCCTTCACCAAAAAGAAAATACCCGTGCTTTCTCATCTTTCACTCTTGTGCTGCTGCTGCTGTATATAACACCCCCCCCCAATTAACTGGTGCCCTTTAGATCATACAGGAAGAGTAGAGATCTTGGGGCCTATGAATGTGACTGGAGAAAACCTGGTAATCCAGATAAAGCGAGGAGAAACCCTGTCCAGATCACAGCTGACATGACAGGATCTCCAGGTACTAGAATTCTCCTATATGAAAAAAACCAAACTCTGCACAACTTCAAGAAGTTGACCTAGTATTTCTCTGCTTGTAAGCTTTTTAACATCTCAAACATAATCTAACTTAAATAAAAATATGAGAAATTGCTGTGAAAAATTAAGAATGTAATCAATTTCTATCCTTTAAAAGCATGAGTTATCTCATATGGAAGCTTAGGAGAGCATATCAACACTCATCCTGTCTATCCAATGTTCTTCCAGGGACAGTACTCTTACTCAGAACTCTTAAAAGTACTTGTGGAATACATAGTTAGTATTTACTTTAGAAAACTGTACTTACCTTCGGACATTTGGAATTTCTTGCAGTTTCAATCATAAGATTTGAGCCCATTTTTTCTCTACAAATAAGTGTAAAAAATTGAAAATGCCCCATCAGTTTAGTATGAACAAAAAGACATATTTTTACCATCTTTACTTCTGAGAACTTTGCATTTAGAAGAAGCAATGCTTGGATTTCACTTTAATAATCAGATTTCTACGGTTGACTTCAACAGACCAGTACTTCAAACCTTCTAGGCTTTTGAAAATAAGTCTAAAGAGTGATTGAGGTCTTGATTCAGTTACTTACTTCACCACATGCTTAACCATTAATCATCAGGATTACTCAACTACTTTGTGAGAGGAAAACAAAGTACTTTGCTGCATTTAAGAATCAAAAAATCTGCATCTTTATTAAGTGGTTTTACAGTAATGAGAATTACTCTTCTGAACTGTTATGAAA